TAAGAATTTGGATTCCCAGAACCCAGAAATGACACAGGTTGCAAAGGACCTTCGGGTTACCTGGTCTGAACCTCACTCAAAGGTGATCTATGCATAGTTAATGCAGATATGTGCTTTATCTGAGAAATAATTATTTCACCAGATCAGAGGATAATTCAGAATTGCAGAAAGCTTGAATGGTTTCTCTTGCTAGACTGCCAAAACAGGATGAGCTCCAAGGTCACCCCAGGTTGCTCAGAGCTCTATTCAGTTCGGTTTTTAAAGTCTTCAAGGACAGAGAGTGCACAACTTTCTGGGCAGCCTATTCCAACTACTCGACATCGCTGTGAAAATGTTTTCCTCTCACATCTGGTCAGAAGGTCTCTTTTTTAACTGCCTGTTGTCTTTCTTCATGAAAAAATTTAAGAAATTCACAGAGCAAGAAGATTTGAAACATCACTTAAAGCCCAGATCACTATGGGGAGGAGAAGAGACTACTGTGCTATAAAGACCTTGTAAATGGAAAACTGTAATTTCTTTATTCTGACATTTTTATACTATTTACATAGCTGTTTAATGATACTTATGTATACAACAGTATAATGTATACAATGCCAAAGACTGGAATTGATGTACACTCTTTTTTTTTTTTTTTTAAATAATATGTACGGGTTTGTGCATCTCTGGATTGTCTTTGAGTTTCAAATGAGCATACAATAAATAATTGGTAGATCCTGTTTTAAGGTCTTCAGCAGTGGGATTCAATTTACAGTTACAAATCAAGACAACCACTTCAAACCTGGCAAATTTTTTTTCTGGGCAACCTCGCCAGAAAAGAGATGGGAGTACCAAGTATCTCCTTATTCATACCAGGAGAACCAGCATAACATGCAAGTTAAAAAAGAGAATAACTCAACCCAAAGTTTGACTGGTTGAATTTTGGGAAGGCTGATAACAGCGCACACATAACTTGTTACTTCGTACAAGTCTACTTTAAGTAAAGGTCAGCTGAAGTTGTAAATATTAGATCTAGTTCCAATCTTAACCCAGGTTAGCTGAGTGATGATTTTTCACCACTTTTGAAGTTACTTTATCTGTCAATATGTCAAACTCCAGGCACCAATATGATTATTGGTCTTTTCCAACCACAGTGTTGAGTTTCCCCTAATGATCAGATATAGGTGAAAGAGGAGAAGGCTGTAAGATTTTGGCCTTTGGCTTTGTTTTCTGAGAGAGGAATAAACAAACCTCTGATTTCAATGTATCTGCACCCCAGGAGGAGATCTACGTTTAGCAGCACCAAAACAGAGCCCACTGGGGGGATTCTTTCTTGCCCACTAAGCCATGGGGATCACAACTGTAAGAGTTAGGATCAACACGCCTGAGCACTTTATGATTGGTAACTATGCAAAGTAAACTTCCTCAAGGAAAAGGATTTATTGAAAACTGACACTTGCCAGACATTTGAAAAACGAGACTTGACCCCCTCCCCATATTATTCTGATACAGTCTCTTGAAGTAGTGGAGATTTTCTGACACCTCCTCGTTCCAGGAAGCAGAGCCCTGCGAAGCGCACGGCGCAGGACTCGAATGGAAAGGCTCCCAGAATGTTTGTTTTAATCTGGTTGCAGGGAGTGTTTGACTTAGCTGTGACAAACGCCGGCTCACCGAGGCCGTGCCCGTCACCCCCCCGAGCGATCCGCACAGGAGCCGTCAGCGGGACCTGTCACGGGGCTGGGGGAGAGCAGGAGCTGCACACTGCTGTGCTCTGCCCCCCCGGGCAGTGACTGGCAGGCACTCTGGCAAACTCAAGGGCTCCTGAAAGAGCTTGTCCACATTCCAGGGAAGTTGAAAGACAGGTGAGCAGGGCATTTAAATATGTTCCAGTTTTCCAGACAGAGCGAGGTCAGCTGAAGGGCTCCTGGGCGGGAGTTCAAACTGTCCACAGCAAATGGTTACTCGAAAACTTCCACCTTAAACTGGAGCCCTCGACATTCTTTTGATGTTCAAATGCAAGATACACAAACAATGTTAATTAATCAAACATTATTTCACAGCTTGGATGGATTGCTCCCCCAGTGAAAGTTTCAGTTCGCTGTATATGAAAAACAACCTAACAATCAGACTCCAGTTATGCCTTTCTGGAAAAAAGTATAGCTCTCTCAAACACAAAATGACCTAAAATTCTCAGAAGACACTTGATCCAACCTGCTGAAAAGAATGTATGAGGACAGGGTTCAGTAGCTGCAGTAGCTTTTTAACATCCTCTCCCTGGGCAACTCCAAACAGGATATGGAAAACTACATGGTCCAACCTCTGCTCCACAGAAGAGATCTGCAGTCAGATTGTAGAGTGATGTTCGCTGCTGTGTTAGGTACAATTGCATACTTAGGAAGACCTCATATTCATGAAAACAGGAATTTAGCAAACATTCCATTGCAATTATTTCAGTGGGGAATGTCAGCTACTAAAGATAGCTAATTATGGTGAAAACTTTACCCAGCTATGGGTCTCCTGACATCAGTAGCATAGTCTGCAGATGTAAGGCACTTACACAGGACAATTCAGCCAAAACACAAGTGGAATAATTTAGGCCTATATTGTGACAGTATTTTTAAACACAAGGATATTTCTGAGGAACACTGATGAGTCTTATCCCAAATAATTAATAAGACTATTCTCCATTCTGCAATTTCACAGTGATTTTTTTCCCTTCTATATAACACAGGACCCACAAGGACTCCCTTTTTCTCATTGTGTTCTGCTTTACCACAACACTTTCAAGAATGCTCCTGCTCCAGCTCAGGAAATCAGAGAGGCTACCAGGATACCTTAATCAGAGCGTTCTTATCAGTGTGTCTCCAGACTAATAAGAAGAAATCCAATCTAGTGCCCACTGAACACTAAATTAGATCTAATCACAGGGCACTCTTCCAACTGTTCAACAGCAGGTCTAGGACCAACGAATGCCATTTATTTTTTTAGTACCCATTAAAATACTACAAGCAATCTCCTAACAGCTGCTTCAAAGCCACAATCAGAAAAGTGTGCAAACATTTGTTTGCATTTAAAGGATGATCGTTCAGCGATCTCCTTGCCAGAAGATACTTTACATACAAACACATTCAAGAAGACCCTGAAAGGCTTCAGCATCAATGCTCTGGGAATCCCATAATGGGGCAACCTACTTAGATCCTCTCAGCTTGAGAATGTTTAAATGGTTGAAGCACAACCCCTTTCAATGGTTCTGCTCCTCTGGCATGTAGGTTTTGCCTCCTTTACAACAAGACATCACTTGGACTGAAATTCTGACTGGAAAATTACTTCATCTTGGCTGAAATATGTGCTTCAGGACTATAGTATAAAGGTCTTGAAAATTGCTTAATGCCTTCTGCAAAAGTCCTAGACCCTTATTTTTATAGGACACTGTGAGCCATGTGATGAGTTGGGGTGGTTTTTTCTATTATTTTTTTTCCTACTGGAAAGATCCTATCTGTAAAGTGTCCTGGGTTAGACACAGAAACTGTGGATCACTTCAAACTTGTAACCACAAACCCCATTTGGGGCGAAGGACTATCACAAAGTTTAGACAAGGACTAAGCTGCTGGTTGCCTCTGCACAGACCCAGTCCCAGCTCCTCGGCACTCCCACAGTTATTGCCCTTACAGGTGGCAAACCATCTCCTCTTGCTGCCCGTGGAGACACTGAGGTACAACAAACTTGTGAGGTTTGGGCCAGGAGAGAGGAAAGGAGCTGCCAGAGACACGTGTGTGCCAAAGGTGAAGATAAAATGGTTGGCAGCGTGAGCAGGAGATGAACAGACCCCACTGCTGCAGCTCAGGGGCTGCCACAGCCAAACCACAGCTGCTCTCACGTGTCCTGGTCCGGAGCAGGGTGGTCCATGCTCGCAATTAAGATCTTGTGGATAAATTACACGTCTGAGCGGTCCTTCCCTTAACATACAGAGTAAGTATTTCATTTTACTTCTTTGGCTTTGCTCATGAATTTCCAGTGTAAATCTATGCTTACTTTTATACAGCACTATAAGGACGGCAAAGACTGCAATCACAGAGTGACAGACCCAATGACCATCATGAACTTTAGGATATTCATTGCTGGCTATGTCAAGATCATCAGAGAGGCTTAAAATAACACGTCTAGAAGGTGCTTTATATTCTATATTTTATATGAGCTATTGTTTGGGAGTGGAGTGCTGTGTGTGATACAAACTAGAATTGATTAGTTTATGACATATCACCTTTTTTTTCTGCCTGCATCATCCATGATGGCAATCAAAACATTAGGAATACATATTAAACTCACTTCACTTCTGCTCCCTCTACTGACTGATTCACTTCTCTTTGAAGGAGCTACTGGTTCCCAGTGTGATTATGGAGACAGGAGTGAAATTTGCAATTTCGCATTTGGCTTAGGAAATTTTGTCTGCAACATTAATATGCACTGAACATCCAGAACTTCCCCTGATCATGTTAAATCACACATGGCATAAAACCCTCAAATCACAGTATATTGTGAAATCATTTCTCCTGCAGCTAAGCCCCTTCTGACATAAAAAGAACGTGGAGCTGAGCAGGAGTCGCAACAATCAGATCTTTCACAGTGCCCTTTCCCTTGCCTTTCAGGTACTTGCAGCACAAGGATCCAGCCATTCAAGCACAAGTGCTAAATGTGTTAAAACAATCAGATGGCATCCCCACCCACGCATCAGCCGGTGACCAAATTTCCTTTCTTGGACTTCACTGCCTCTCTCATTTCCTCCCCACACTCAAACCCTCTGTGTCTATTATCCATTATACACACTGTGCTATAAAACTGTTGACACCTCCCTTCCTTTTTTTTTTTTCAGCCCTTGCCTCTCTCTTGCCTGACACAGACACAACAGACTAGCACATCCCGGTGAGTTTGCAGTGGAAAAGGTGGTTATATTAATGTCAGAAGCTGAAAAAACCAGTAAATCTAGCTAGTCTGTAAAATAAAGGAGAGGAAGGGATCATACTCACAGCAGCTGCAGAGACACAAGATCATCAAAAAGGCCCTGGGGAATCTCCGTGATCTTGTTTCCATAGAGCACTCTGCAAGATTCAGGAAGACAAAATAAATCTTAAATAACAGCCCAGTTTAGTGTCCTCCCACATCTCTGCATTATCATCTTTATTGATCTTGTGCACCATGCCCAGGATCTGTGGGCATTTCATTTAACCACTGATCTCATTTTCTCTTCAGAGAGCACATGGTATTAAATGAGTCGTTATGATTCAGGCTTCGTCTGGTGTTGGAAAGCATTTTTAATGTAGAAACTGGACATCATCCAAAAACTGTATCTGAAATATTTTTCATTCTGTTAAGGGTTGTTTTTTTTTTTTTTTCTGCCCTTTTTTAGAAATATTTTAACCACTGAAAGGCACATTGTCTGACGCAAAAACCAAGAATTCCGCTCAGCAATACTGAATTTAAAAGCCAGGGAGCACAAGCTGGTTGTAGATAAAATTTCATATAACTGAGTCTCTTAAGATATAGTAATTGGCATGAAATGTGACACAGGCATCATTGGATAAAATATTATGGCTTCACCAGCTGCTGTTACCATTTCAACGAGCTAATATAAAGAAATTTATCCTGAACTGGAAGTAGACATTTATTTCAGAAACTCAAAAATAATTTAGGCATGGCTTGGTTATAAAAACTGGTAAAGCTTTAATAATAAAAATCAGAGTCACTGTATATATTTATTCAACCATAAATATATGACCTGATATCCATGATTCAGTTTTAATATTAAAAAATATTTCATTTTTAATGGAAAAATGCATATATATATATATATATATATATCATGCTTGGGAAACTGAACTAAAGGGGAAAAGGGACAGAGCCACCATTATGCTGAGATGTGCTACCCAGTGATCAGAACAAAATCACATCTGACAGAACACCTGAATTTCAATCATGGCTGAAGTATTTACTTATGTCATTTCTGCAAGACGGTAACATTTGTCAAAACCAGAAAATGCGTGAGGAGTTTCTGAGCGTCCTGGGAAAAGGGATGACGATTAGGGTCCCCCTAAAAATATTTTCCTTTACCTAAACACTTTAATAGACTTCAAATTGGGGAAAACAGTATTTATGTAATTCCTATGCCCTACACAGGACATGGTAAATGGTTATAAACCAGCTCATGCCAGAACTTTGGTGCTTATGTGTCGCTAAAGTGGTTAATTCCCTATTTTTTTCATGTGGAACAATATCCTAGCAATGAATCAAACAGCCATGTGAGGCTTGAATGCTGGCTGAAATGCTGCAATTACCCTGTCTTACAACATTTGAGATATTATGAAGAGTTGGACATACTGAAAAACAAACTCTTTTCCACGACAGACCCTTTCCAATACCCTCTGGCCCTCCCAGAGCATCACCACTTCAGTTTACTCTTCATCAGTCACTGCAAGTCTATCACCCCTGGGGGAGCCTTCCCAGATCAGCTCGTTTCTGAGCCTCAGTGAAATGAATCTAAATAAAATAACACCACTTAAATATGAAAATCCAAACTTGAAACTTCATTTTTCATTACTTCTGCAGTCTAGCAGGAACTGAAGTGCTACCCAAGAAACCAGTGATCGCCCAGCATTACATTTTCTCTAAACAAATGCAACATGATTTCTCTTTATCTACTGCAGAGTCAGAAGGTTGGCTTTTAACGTGCTGTTCCAGTGACTGTATTTTGTGGGTAATGAATGCTTGTAAATCTTCCTAATTGTTTCTTAACTTCAGCTTCACAAGACACACACAATTTCCTACTGCAACAAAATTTCATGCAAGTCACACAGGCTTTCATACTCTACCCAAAGCTGAACTTTGAGAGGTTCAACAGGACCATTTAGATGCAGATTCAAACTATGGGAGAACATTCAAGTCTCTGAATTTCACTGGGCTCTAAATCAAGGTGTGAGTGGCTGACTCACAGACTTCTTTAACTGATGTGAGCACCTGTATCAGGAAGCAAAAGCAAAACCTCTGCAAATAAAATATTTGTAAAAGGTTAAATCATTAATTTAATGCCCAGAGAATCCAGTTTACACCCATTTCACTTGCCAGTCTTTCTGAAAAGCATTTCTTTAGCAAGTGCATCATCTGCATAACGAGTTTAGTTTACAAGCTCTGAGGTATTTGAGAAACACCTTCCTGAGTTTGGGAAGCTGCAGGATCATCAATAGTGATCAATAATGCAGAATGTATCATATAAGAAGGAATTCAGGACACAAACTTTATAAAATGCCCATGGAAAGTAAAAACATCCTCACTCCAGCCTAAGGCATATTTTGCCTGTAGAGGCAAAAACATTCATATAAAGTAAAACCTTAAAGAAATCTCTGCTCACACCCAGGGCAGTTGTTACCCACGGTACAACTAAATGCAAAATAAGACTCTCAGAGTAATTCCTTCATTTACTTTTAATTTAAGAGTCAGAAGGTCATAGTGCAGTGTGTCACTGAGTTTCAAACCTTGGACGTGTTCAGACATCCTCTTCATTATTTTCAGCAAAATAAAACAGATTAAAATAGCTTATAAAATAAAACAAAGCTTCGATTTTTAGAAGCCATGAAAAGGAAAATAAGCATTTCCCAACCTAATTGGGCTTATGTGCATGTGGCACATTAACACTGGAGCAGATTAACAGCTAAACAAAAGTCAGTATGAGAGCTCAGGCACTTGTCTCTAATTCATATTCATGTTCAGCACTACCCAGAGCCAAATTAGTTAATGCCACGTCTGCCTGCCATGCCAGGGTTGGAGTCAAAGGGGCCTGCAGGGAGAGGCAAAGAGAAGGGGAGATCCAAACGCACTGCACCCCATTTCTGGAGTTCCTTATGGTCACTCACTCTAAAGAGAAAGCACAGAAAATTTGCTTTCCTCAGAGTTCTCTTTTTTTTTTTTTTCCCCCCTGTTTAAGACAGAAAAGTCATCCTCATACTCATCCCAATGAGGTTCTGCCAGGCTGGGTATTACTGCAGCCACTCTCCTCTCCTCCTGCCAGCTGCCCATCTCACTGGCAGCACCTCAACATTCCCAGAACTGCAGCTCCAGGGGGAAAAAGAAACCAAACAAAAGCTCCTAATAAATAAAAAAACAACAAACATATAACAGGAAGCGCAGCCAAATCAACTCAAGAACTTCATTTAAATATTCAATGAGTTTACCAGCAGAGAGAAATTTTAGGAGATTTGCCCCTATGGCATTACAAATTCTCTAAATGTCTGTTGACTCGCAGCCCTCCCACATGTTGCAGGACATGCAGGTGGCCTGGCTACAGTGCAGGCTTGGCACAGGAACACAACCCTTCTCCCCTCCCAGAGCACCTGAAACTTTAGACTCAAAATATTTTCTTATTAAAAATACACTAACAAAGTTAATACGTAATAAAAATCAAATTAGCTCAGTAATTGCTGCCAATAGACAGGGAATCGGGTGAATTAGAACAACTTTTATTAGAACACCAAAAAAAAAATTACTAAAACTTTTAGTGCGCGCTCCTGATTTGTCATTTGCTTCTCAATTTTAGGAGACCAAATTAGCCCCAGGCCTGACAAATACGACACCACATAAAGCACAGAGCCCTGGCAGCAGTGTGAGCGTTGGAGGAGATCCCTGGAAGAAGCACCCTGAAGAGTTATTACGGATCTGCACGAAGAAATTACACAAATATATAACAGCCATAATGAGGCGTTATGTTTCTTCAGCCTGCTTCTGGCACCACGTTTCAATATTCCCCCAACAATGCATCTAGTCCAAGACACAATTAGATATTAAATTTCCAGTTAAATAATTAATTGTTACTACTGAACTTCAGGGTTTGCAGAGTAATCCAACTGGTGTTCTAAGTAGTTAAAAATAAAGATTAAACAGTGGAAATAGTCACTCCATGGCTTCATCCAGAAGCCTGGGACACACCAGACAGAGGAAGCACTGGAAGCACACGTAACCACAAGTGTGTTTTCTTGGATGAGAAGGTAATTAAGCCTGGATCAAAGCTTTAGCAGCAGGGTCTTGAAACAAAACTCTCAGTGATTCTTCACAGCCTCTATCCATTCTGACCTCTTGAACAATTTTAAAATGAATGAATTTGCACTAATTTTAGCAACACATGGCCTTTCATACTCACTGAAGTTTACCACGCCACCTTCAAGGGTGTGAAACAATAATTGCTGTGTTGCCTTTATTTTGCAGTTCCTCAGCCCACCTTGCAAATGTAGCTGCAATTTAGCTGCTTCATTAAGTCAGATCACAGAGTACTGAGATCTTTTTTTTTCCCTTGAAGGTGACACTGAGATTTTTGGGGTATGAAAGCCTAGCACAGAATCCCTTACTTTAGACCATATGGTTTCCAGCTAAGTGTTCCTTTATTTTGGCTTGGCTGAAACATTCTTACTGAAGTGTCAAATTGTGACTTTATGCAATGTCTTTTTCAGTCCTCAGAATGCTTTCAACTTCCCTTCAGACTGTGAAAACAATTCTTGCTAGGAAGAATTATATTTCCCAAGCTATGTACAATGGCACAGGTTCAATAAGAATTCAGGTTTTCAAAAGAGGAGGAATTGATAGGGCTAAAAACAGCAATAAATTTCTAATATCTGAAAGAAACTTAGACATGTAATTTTTTTCCCCCTGCACTATTTCATATTTCTTCAGAACAAGTTAAGCTAAATAAATCACAGTAAAACTATCCAAAGCAATTTGTTACCTTAAAATAAGTTTGGCAGTTATTGCAATAGACAGTGTTTTATTGCAGATTTCAAATCACCATGAATGACACCTCATACATCATCATCCAGGAGATGATGGTCTAAATGGGACTGCTATGTCAAAACCTCAGCTGTCTCTTGTCTTTGTGCCCAGGCTGATCTAAGCTTTTAAAGTGTTCCTGAGCTTAATTCAGTATATGAACAAAACCAAAGGAATTCTCCCTCTGCAGTGGTCTAAAATTTATTCATGCAGTTTAACACCCTGAAGGCTTAGACTGTTTTGTCATATCTCATAAAACGTCCCCAGACAGTCTGGATCTGGCCTTCCAAACGGACCCCAAGAATAACATTTATCTGCGATCCTATTAACAATAACGAAACGCTGATACAATCCTCTCCCTGATATTAGACGGATTTTGACCTGATTAAATGGAACATTAATTTACTTCAGGAAGTGCATGCAGCAATCTTGAAACACGAAACTCTTCCTAACCTGGCCCCTGTGCTCTGGGCTGAGTCATAAAACACCCAGCTCCGGCACAGGGCGATGCTCACCACGTAACACAAACTCCAAGTACCACAAACAGAGTATTTCTCAAACTTTTAATGCTGAAAATTCAGGTAACACATTCTTTTACAACCAACCAATCTTGCCACACTTCTCAGTGCAAGGGTGCACTCATGTTTATATGGAAAGAATCATTGGATGGCAAGAATAAACCCTCCACCATGAAAACCATGGCCACATTACTGATTTTTCGGATTCAAATAACTCTAATTATTCGTTTCTCATCTTGGATATTTCATACGGTCCAAGTGCTGCGGTATCAGCACATCTCACAGCCTTCAAATATGCACCTTCAAATATAATCTCTCTAAGACAAAGAAGTACTTCCACCTTTCCCAGAGGGGAGACTTTGCCAGAGACAAGCAGTTTATTTTCCGTGAAGCTGTCACTGACATTATGCACCATAACCTCTTCCTCCTAATCCCACAGTGGCATCTTTAGGACTAAAGGTCCTTTCTCTCACTTCTTGGTCCACAACACCCTCCATTCCCTGATTTACAGCAAGTTGTCCATAACTCTGTTCTCTCAAATCCAGAGCCTGGATCTTACTGTAGCTCCAGTTTGGTCCTTAAGCAGGTTTGAAGCTTCATATCAAACCCATGAAGGTTCCTACCAAAAATATGCTAAAAATCTAAGCCCTAATGCCTAAATATTGAAAGAGAACTTCAGACACTGCAACAGAATTAAATCCTCAGAACATACAGACCATAGGCTGACGTGCATGTGACACGAGGAGAAAAGGGAAAGCCAGATAACTCTAGGAAGAAGAAAAGAAGTTCTTAAAGAACAATGATTCTGGTTGTTTATTCTTGTAACAACCAGGAATGAAAAAAGTTATGTACATGTCCAAATGTTTCTAAGAAAAACAGTAGAAATTCCTTGTTCCACAGAGTCATATGAATAGGGAATGAAATCCCACTGAAAAATGAGCATAGAAAAAAATAACTTATTTCTTCCTGTGTGGGGAATGGAGAAGTCCTGAGTCCTTACAAGAACAAACTTGCCTTTCTTTTGCTGAACGCAGAGAAAACCCAAGGTAGAAATGACTACTTTGAAGCATAAAGATTTTGTGACCTGCTTGACTCCCATAGGTGGATTTCTTGCTAAAGAAAATATATAGATTTACAATAAAAACTTATGACCTGCTAGCACACGGATCACTTAGCCCTTTTTAAAGATTTAAGTTTTATACATCTGAGGGGAAACAGCTTCTGTAATAAACATTCCTGTGTTTTCAAAACTGTAATACACCCAATTTTTTTTTCCTACCATCTCCACAATAGGCAGAGGACTCTGAGAAGCAGTTCTGCCTGGAAACACCAACCTGAGATCAGCTCAGAAGAGAGCAGAGTAGAACCCACTGTACACAGGGCTCCATCAGCGAGCCAGTCTAACAATGTTGGCTGCCTTCCAGACAAGCACTCTCACTCTCTCAGACCCACAGGGAGCACTGCAATTGCACGCGAGCAGGGAGGAAAGGGAGGGGCAGAAAATGGGAAGAATACAGAGGAGAAAGAGCAAGGATTTTAGGCAGTACAGCAGTACTTCATTTTTAATGGAAACCAAGCTGCTTACTTTCATTTGTGCATTAATATTTCCCCCTCCTTTCCTCTGATTTTAACTCAGATAGCGGCAAAGTCCAGCTGCTCTGCTCACAGATTAAACCTCGGTGGTGCCTCATTAAAATGTATGCACCAATCACATCTGACTGAGGTTTATGGACGAGGAAAGTTGCTCTCAGCTGGGCTGAAGGACTGTATGCAGAGCAGCGTTCCTTCAGGGCATGCAGCTGACTAAAGTCACTGGGGCCTCGGGCACCCAAAAGAGTGAGCTGATAAAAGAGGAAAACACCAGCAAGCAACTGTCTCACTTCATTTCTACCTCCTTGTTCTCCCCCCTTCGGCAGCTTCCTTGGGAGGGCTGGCATTTCAAAGGGTTCATCTTGTCTTTCTGTGCTGACAGGACTGGACTGGTGGCTGGGGCAGAGATCAGAGGAAAGTGAGATCCTCTGCTTCTCAGAGGTAGAAGCCTGAGGAAGGTTTCTTCCAAGAAACCCAGGTTTTGCAGACCAGCAGATAGATAATTTTGCTCCATAAAGATATGCAGGGCTCAGAAACTGAACAACTACAGACGTGACCAGCAGGGAGGAATCTGCCAAAGGTCTGGGTGACAGGTTGTGAAAGAGGAGGGAACCAACCACTGCCTGTCAACCACAGGGAAAACATTTGTATAAGACCTATCTGCAATGAAAAACAAGAGTAATACCTTTCAAAACAAAGTAAAAGCATAGTGGACAACTGAATCCAGAAGAGGAAGCTGACAATTTCAGAACTGGAGCTGATACTGTCCTAGAAACAAGACTGCCAAAGAGAAACTGCATATTACAACAGCTTTCTGTGTCTGTGGTAGAAGGAAACTGAGGCAGAGACAAACACTGAGCCAAGGACAGACTGTTCAGAGGCAATTCCCTTGCTGTAGCTTTTCCTGGGCTGCGTCTCATCTCCCTGCCCTCTCCCTTTTGCCCTGTAACCTCTTAGCATTAACTTCAGCAATATTTCACCCACTTGGATACAAACGCATTTAAACGTCATTTACTTAAAATATCATTTTGGGTGACTGGGCAGAGAATACACAGTCATTTCACTTGCTTCTGTATGAAAGTCAAAACACTACAAATTCCTGCCCAGTTTATATTCTCATTTCCTCTCTGTCCACTCTGATGTGTTTCATCCCACTCCTGAGGCCACCTGGGGGTATCTGAATTAACTAAAGCTAAAGCTGAATAACTTCTGCACTGGGAGGTCAGTCCCAGTGGAAATGTCTTGCCTGTCCAGCTCACTCCTAAACCAGGAGGTTTGCCAAGACCAGAAAGCTGTAGCACTGCAGCATCAGCAGCAGTTTCATACTAAGCCAAAACTGTAGCGTTCAGTAAATGTCACTCACTCACTGAATTGTTTCCAGACAGCATTGAGGGATTTGACCATTTCCACACCACGCTGAATAACACTGCCCAAACTATTCAACAAACACCAGCAACACTTAATATATATTTCTGGCATTCTCCCAGCTGGATTCAGGTCACAAAAAAGGGCCAATCCTTCTGAACTCTGCCTCAGAGGTTTACTGTAACATGTAAGTTTAATACTTAATAACCTTCTAATATTAGTACTAGTCAACAAGTTTATCCAGTTTGTCAGAATTACCCAGTATTCAGTGAATAAAATTATGGCAGCTTATAGAAATAAACTACACTCTTCAAAAAAATCAAGTTGTATTATATGAATATTAATAATTGTTTCAAAACTATTCTGAAAATAAACACAGGCAAATATCATTCTCGTTGTCCTTACCCTCTTCTCTCAGCCTGAGCTCTTTCTAACTCTCTATTCTAGTTCATCCTCCATATGCAGCTTCTGACCTTGCACTGCTCCTTTTACCCATTAAGAGCTCCACTATTTAATAGTGCTCTGAGTACCTGGGCTGAAATATGGCTGCAAGTAAGTTCAACTTGGTGCTAAACCAGATTTTGTGCTCTATAAAGAGAAATGAATGGCTGTCAAGAGATCCTACCTTCTTTTTATCTTTTGTGTGAAGTCATATTTTAGTCCCCTTCCAGCTTAATAAATTAGTAATTACAGCTAAGATATATATAAACAATTTCTTACAAGCTTAGGTTCTTTCCTAACTAGTCTGAAAAAAAAAAGCCTCAAACAAAAAACAAACAAACAAATCACAAAATACCCCCAAATAAACCAGAAAACCCTCAAGAGAGTGCAATCTCAGCTCTGTACTCTGGAAGAAAAATTTAGTATGGAAGCATTTTCCCAACTCCTCCACACCACCAAGCAGTGTGTGAGCTGTGGTGAGGTTTTGGAGTGCCACGAGCAGTAGGGGTGAATGGACCACACTGCAGGTGCACATGAAGATCTACTAATGCACTTATGTGAAGAATTGAACAAGTCAGCAACCCTAGGGGTGTTGATCTATAAAAGAGCTTACTAGAGACTTGTAAACAGTCTCTCCTAAACTTCATCACCAATTTTTTCATTTACAAAAGATCAGATGCTTCACACAAGCTGGCAATTGCACACAGAAACATATGTTCCCCCAGACAGCACATTATCATTTTTATTTCTCTTCCATGCAAGCTCTCCCCAAATGCCCATTCAGTTCTATTTTCTACTCACAATGAAATGAGAGATTTCAAGCCTTTGAATGCATCAGGCGCAATGTCAGTTATTTGGTTCTTGCTGATGTCTCTGTAAAGAGAAGGGAGGATTAAAAAAATGATTGTAAACCGGAATTTGATGAAAACATTCTAGCTGTAGTTTATTGGAGGAACACACTTGATGTAAAAACAGAAGTGAAAGATCATATTATCTCAGAGAAACGATGTCAGGGCACGGATAGGCAAATTCCAGGAAGGATCAGGAAACATCAGTCAGTGTGACAAGCCACCAGCCTTAACAACCACAGCTCTCCTGTTAATGAGGTCTTTCATTTTATGGCCATTAAAACAAAGGTTTTTATGAAGAGCTTTGATGCACAACAGAGATGTTGATAAAACCGTCTCAAGAGCTGTTAGTACCGGAGCCCGCACTGCGACTCTGTGGGGTGGCCCTCAAGCACGAGGAGCAGCCCATGACAAAGCATAAAGGTTGTTGGAATGTTTAAATGCAGGCATGGAAGGTCAACTTAATAACAACCCAGAGGATCACACAGACTGGCCAGCCCTGATCCAAAGCAGCCCCAGTGCCACTGAGGAGCTCAGTGCTGGACCAGCAGTGTCCGGGTTTTGATGGCAGAATTCCAGCTTGACCTTGCTCTGGAGAAGCAGCTGAGAGAAGAGGGTTGACAGTGCACTGGCAGGTCTGCCCAGAGTTTTCAGATACTGGGGAAAGCCTCTGAGCACCTGAATGGCAGCTGTGGAGCTCTGAAGCCCAGCAGCACTGTGAGAACACCCAGAGTTGCAGATCCTGCCAGGGAGCCCAGCAAGATTCCACCCTTTCAGCTGCGGTGTGAGTGGAATTCAGCACAGCCTGCTGACATCTGCGAGGGAAGTGTGTTCCTGGTTTGGAAAATGCCCTTCAGTTCTAATCATAACCAGCAAGGATGAATGCAGACTATGCCACAGCAGCTTTATATATGGAGACCAATTTACTCCACTCGGTACCCAGATGCTCAGAGCCTTATCGTGACTGTCACTGCCACCCAAACTTTCTGTCAATCAGTTCAACCAAGTGCTTAGCTGAGAGACAACTTTCAGCCACCCTCACTGCATTTCCTGACAGTTGGTATCAGCATGTATCACTAGCATTAAATCACTTCACTGATAGCTGAAACTGCAGTAATACAGTATTTCGTGTACATCTTCACTGATATTTCCACTGGGGCACATGCTAAGTAGACTCTAAATAAACATCACTTGAACGAGAACTTAATAATCAGAAACAAAGTTTTCCACTCTATACATAATTATGTTGGTTAAAATTTTAATGCAGTCCTCTAACTGTTAGTCCTCTAGCTACATAAAGTGGGATTTTTGCAGTTTTTTGGCTCCCTTATAAGATTTGATTATTTTATAAGGCTCATGAACCAATTTGCTCTGCAAATTGTTTTCTGTTACAACATCCTGCCTACCAGGACAGCATTCACGGAAGGTTTCTGTTTCTTCAGCTCAACTTACAGCAGCCGAATTTGTCACAGTGAAAATAGGAATATTTAAGTTTATACAGGTTTTTGGGAAACTTGTTTAGACTGATTGCTGCTTTTTATCTAGTAAGCAGAAATCTGAGGCGGATCAGCTCTATCTATTTATCAAGCAACGCATTAAAATGTATTAGAATCACATGAAAAGATGGGTTTGCTGGACAGTGACAAGTATCTGAAAGGGGCATCTAATTTTTGAAACCAGGATTACAGCACTATTTTACTGATTGGCTGCATTTCCACATCTCCATCCTTCCTCTCTCCCCATGTCCGGACACTAATGAGTGTATAACTAATGGTGCCTGAATGTGCAGAAACGCCATGCTGGGTGATGACACTCACTCACTTCATGCAGATGCACTACAATCAGCATTAGAAGATAATTAGACACATTATTTCCTTTCCATTAGAGCCCAAGTTTCCTCTGCTGTTGGATAAGGAGGCTCCATCTGACCTGACTGAGGGAAAGGGATTCATTTATGTCCTTGTATTTTTCTTCCCTTCGTTTGGCCTGCTTGGGTAAGATCATCCTGTTCTGTGCTTGATTTACATCAAGACAAAGAGATACAGGTTATTGTAAAAGACAACTGAGATGACATAAGGCTCATTTTCATAGTTTAGGGTATCTCTGAATCCCTCAGGGGAAGTGTGGCTCTTCAACTGGAAATGTAATAAAATTACCAGGATTCCAGTCAGGCAGGGAATACATGAGTCACCTCACACTTGTCTCCCTGCACCTCTGGCAGCACCACAGAAATCTTTCCAAAGGTTATTGAACAGACCTTGGAGGGTGGCTGTGCTCAGTTACCAGTTAGGGACATAAATTGGGTTTGACTTTGCACCAGGGGAGCAAGGATACCCTGCAAGTCACTGTGGCACGTACAACTGGAGGGCTTAAATGTCTTTACTGTAAAAGGTTTTGAAACAAAACAGATTTATTTTTAGATGCAGCCATATGCAAAACTATTAATAGCATTGGATGAATGTGCTCTTTGTTGACTAACATTATTAGAAACAGATTACTTGATTATCTCTAACATGTAAAATGGACTGTTCTCATTTGACAAGAGTAACTCAGCAAACTCCATGTCATATATGGATTAGTTTTTAGAAGCTGCTTAGCAAAAGTAGCAACTCCACAGAGCTACTGGGAAGCCTGTGAAATCTCCATGTGTTTTCTGCTAATATGTGGTAAAATTAATCTGCCAACATGAAATGTCACTACAAGCATCAGAGAGGTTCGACATCTTTCAAAGTGGTTCTGTGTACTTGGCTCTTAGTCTTGCTCTACAAACTCGGTACAAACTCGTTAGTTAAAAGTTACAGAACTATGGTAGAAGCACAACTGCTCTGTGAATTAATTCCAAATGGTTTGTCTGGGCCTGGATACTTCATGCAATAATGACAACTTCTACCTCTGGAGATGGGATATGTCTCCTCCAAACCCCTGAAATCTCTTCTAAAGCCCTGGAATAACTGAGCACAGAGCTGGGGTTACACCCACCCCAAAATCAGGGAAACCATCACCCCACATTATGTAATTCAAGTGCATATTTGAATCCTTCAAGTGTCAAATCTTCATTCTCAGAAGAGACAGATACATTTAGCTTGATATCATTAATTGTGTGAAGAGATGTGGGCAATTATGATTAAGGCCAAGATACAAAATTCCAGCTCCTTGGCTAAAACTGAATCACCAAAGTAACTTTCCCATCCTAGAAGTTGCTGAAGAGATATTCTAAAGGGCAAGTTTCAGCTACATGCAAGTATAGCACTTGAATTAACATCCATCCTCTGCTATCATCTTGACCTATTAATATCAAGACCTATCAAGATTATCTTGGACAATTGGCTCTTACTTAAAAATTAATCTCAGTTATCCAATTAGCTAAGAAAAGAAAATTGTAGAATCTTGCAGGAAATACTCAGTAAACAATCAAAATCCAGAGTGCTGAAAGTGAGAAGGCTATTACCCATAACATTCTTGTATATTTATTAACCAGGAGAAAAATACAATTTACAGTGGTATGCTAATATTCCTCTGAAGTAGATAAAAATATTATAATAGTTAGTAGTAACAATAACAACAATTATATTAATGTTCTTCATTTGTGCCCTGAGCAGAGTATCAATTAACTAAATTGATAATCTTCATGCTATGGCACTGCTCATTGAAATCAAAGTGACAGAAATGAAGAAAGGCTCAGTGGTATCAAACATGTCCTTCCTCTAAAGGAAAAAAAAAATGGATGATTCTTTTGTTTGAAGAGATAGTCTTTTGACTAAAGTTTATTTCTGTGTTTACAGTACTGGGAATCTTGCACACTGAAACGATAATGTCAATAATCTCTTCAAATACTGAAAAAAAGGTCCTCAATTAAACTATGTGTAACCAAAATGTTGCTCAGTTTAAAACCTCCTCATCCAGCAGGAACAAAACCTCAACAAGAAGACAGGTCAACAACCAAATGGCAAAACATGATGTTTGTTACAGGACATTCTCCAGCCCAAATACTTCTCCCAAGTTCTTCCACAAAATGCTCTTACATCAACTGAGCTTTGACACAGATCATCTGGCACAATAACTTATTATTTAATTATGAGTTCAGATCTCAATGAGTATGCCAATTATTCTCCAGAAAGCTGTTAACACAACTTGCTAATGGAATTCTGCTGTGAAATTCTAACATTAATCATTTCACATAGTAAGTGCTGCATTGGGTTGAGCAGCTACTCACATTAAAGAACATTTTTCTGGTCAATTCCCATAAAACTAGAGTTCACCAATCAAGACAAATGAAAGGACAGTAAAGCACTGCCAAAATCTAAAGTTAGTCACACCTTAGAAAGAACTATGTAGTGATTGTAATAATGAAAAAATTACAAGTTAGGTCACTGGTAAGGGATCCATCATTTTTCACTGAAATTACCATCTCACTATCCAATACAGGACTTCTTTAAAAATACATACAGCTATATTGAAAGTGAGACAGAAGAATGGAGACCCTCTAAGATTGATGATTAGACCTGTTAAATATTAAGATCCATATTTACAGCTCTTCAGCTCTAGGAACTGGGTGAGTTTGGGCTGGGAAATGCAGTCATTTTACCCTTACCTCAATGGTCTGGCAATAGCTCATTTCAGTCTCCAAAAGCACGAGCTATCTGCTCATCCACTGTCTTCTGTGAAATGAGCTCACACTCTCTTAATCCCAGTATTGTTCACATCAGAAAAGAACTGCAAAAGCACCTTTTCAGCGGTGTTAGCACTGAGCTACAGAGCCAGGACGACTCCTGGGAGTTACTGGTCCAGTGGTACCATAAACCTCCTGATACTGGGGTGAACCAGGAGTAAATTGCTTTACCATTGTTTGTGTCATCATGCTACTGTCACATCATCTCTTATATATCACTTCAAAATTAAAAAAAAAACCAAAAAACAAACAAACCAGCTGGGGGAATGCCCGGGTCATCTGCAGAACAGAGCTGCTACACATCAGGGTTATTTTATTTTATTTTTTTTTTAAATCCAAAAAGAAAACACAAGAGCTAATACAAAAATAATTGTCTGGGTATCAACTGGTGATTAAGCAATAAGCCCCAGCAGCCAATTTCTTTGTTTTCAGTCAGTGCATTTCAACATCAGGACACTGAAGGCACTACAAAAAAATCCTCACTCCTGCTCTAAGTGGGGTCAACTTCACTGGACTGCTGCAAACAGACACCAGAACAAAAGAGAGAAAAAAACCCGGGACTTCAGATCTTTTCTGAGGAAGCAGATTAGAAGTTTGAACAGACTAACAACTAATTAGATCACATCGTTTATAACAGGAAGTGAAATTAAGCATTATTAAGGATTTCATGCACTGTTAGGCATCCTGAACCGAATTCCATTGTTGCTTACACTTTGAAGAGATTATTTGTGCAATCCCCAGTGATTTCAACACAGAAATGCCAATATGTTTCTAAAACAAAGATACTGAACTTGAAGCTGGAAGATTCATGATTGCCCTTGGATGTTGGTCTTATTAAAACTTACATTCTCTTAAGCTTCTTGTACTGGGTGAAAGCTCCAGGGGGAATGATTTTGATGAGGTTTTGTTCCAAACGTCTGAAAACAAAGCAATATACATGTTAACTACACAGCTACAGGGCGGGGATCACATTAAACATGACAGCAAATTTTATATAAATACAAAACCAACTTAATGTTTATGCAAGACACGGTTTTTTCTTTTGAAATCCACTAAATGGAGAAAATGCTGAGAAAATAACTTAGAAAACAAAACAATCTCTGTGATTGCACTAAACTGGTACAGGAAAAAGATCAAGGGTTAGAGAAACTGCACCTTTAAGGCTCGTGGAATTAATAAATAACAGTCTGTATGTTTTAAAGTTAAGGTAGAAAATAAATAATGCAGATGCTTTCCTCGACTAGGTGTTGTAAATAGAACATAGGCATCTGAACTAAAAGCTAGGTTATGTTGTGACAGCTTAATAAGCAGATTAATAATTCTATCAGAACAATTCAAGGAGCAACAATCTATGGGAACATGCTAAAACCCAAAGTGAATTAATTCACTGCAAGGTGAGTCCAGTTCAAGCAGTACAAAAAAGAACAGTATCTTCCTATTTTAACTACCAAATGCTGAAGGTTTTCTAAAATATGCTCTGGACTACATGAAAATGCTGCTGTTTTTATTTCTAAGATTTGGTTGAAAGAGGTATTCTTTATGAAGTATCATAAATGCACGTCTCACTAACATAAAACGTAAGCAGCTTTAAGATACCACATACAGTAACCACTAAGATTAATTTCTTTTCCTTCCCAGAAGTACTTTCAATTGTCAGCAAGTTCCCTGAATTCCTGCTAAAAGGAATAACTTCTCCTCAGATGAACTCTTAAGTGTTCATCTCAATTAGAAATGTAAAAGTAGATTCCCATAAAACAAATTCCAATGACCATGGCAGCTAAAATTCTGCAGAGTTGGAACTGAGAGTAAAATGTGATTTTTCCTTGCTCTTACTTATTATTCAAATGTTGTGTATTTTTTCCCCAAAGTGTCATAAAAAAAAAGAAAGAGTTTAAATAGTAAAAAATCTGCGGTTGGAAATGGAATTGAAATACAAAAACATACCGCAATGATGGAATGAAGCACTCGAGTCATTTGGAGCTGCTGCAGCATTGCAGAGGGGAGAAAAAATTTTAGAACCAGGAATGGAGATAAAATGAAATGGGAGAAGGGAGAAATAAATCAAGGTTTGTAAAGGACTTGGGAATAATGCAGAGAAAATGTGCAAGGCCCATCAGCTCTCTATTGCACAGTGTATCCTCGTGGTGATCTGTGCTTCCATAGGCAAGAGAAAAAATCCCCTTGAAAATAAGATGATTTGCCAGCACAGTTACACTCCGAGAAGCTATTCAAGTCTCAAATATTGTGATATTTGCACAGTCAACTTGCACAGCCAACGTGCATGCCCTCTTTTATTTCTGTAGCAGTCTATTTTAAAGGTTGTGATCAGAGTTAATTCTACTCCTTGTTTTGTGATTTGAATTAGAGTCTGAGATTTCCCTTCCAGTTGGTCTAAATATACCACGCTTCATTTCTGGCAAGTCCACAGTGAAATGCAAATTGCTGCAAGCTCCAGCACACCACTATTGTTGGGTGTTTGTCACCAGAATTAGCAGTACACACACTCTTCCCATAAAGGCTTTTTGTCAGCCTGCCAGTTGGGTGTTTCACTCCTCCCAAGTATTTCTGTGCAGACACTTCGAGGAACAAAAGAGGGCCGTGCCTGCCCAGTTCCCTGGCCCTGCCGATGGAAACTGGGGGATCACACGGACTGCACAGCAGACCTCACAGGGAAACTCAAATAAAGAGATGGGGAGGTGGGGGAAAACATGTCCTTTTTTATAATCACTGAAAATTCCAAGGAAATGTTAGTGATTCAAAGGTGGAAATACACACAGAATTTTCTTCTTGTAAGGTGAAAAAATACAAAATTGGAATAGCCACATGTCCCAAGTAATAAAAAAAAACCAAAGAAATTTCTAGAAGAGGTGGAGAGGAAGAGAGAAACAGTTCTTCGAGAGAGCTGCCTTCTGAAGCTACTCCTGAACTCTTCACCCATTCCTACAGGATTTAGAGCTGATGACCTGTACAGAAATAGATGGACAAGGCTGGTGTCATCTGCTGCTATATTTTCACCTTAGACCTTACATTTTGGAAGCTCTTTGTAAATGAAGGACTAAAGACTACACAGAACACAACCTGCCCAGTGCACCATACCTTACAGGTGCTACCAGGGAAGCACAGGCAGCACCACAGGCTCTCATCAGCGTGTGTCTGCAGGTGGGTTCCAACTTGGGCACAAAACAGAGGCAATCCTGGAGCACTAAATAAGTGCTTGTGCTGCATTAAATACGCTGCATTAAATAAGCACGTGTTTTAATTATAGATTGGCAGGCAGAGCCTCAAAAACACAATGCACTTACACAACTAAAATAGCAGAAAACACATTGTTTGGATTAATATTTTGTGCTTTCACCTCATCTGAGCTCATAAATGACATGTCAAGGACAGCAGAGGATTAAAAATCTCAAGAAACACTAGGTTCTGCCAGAAGGGGTGTTGGCAATTTCAGGGTGATGAAGGCTTAATTATAAAACAGTGTTGTTCATGATATAATGGGAAACTGCTGTTAGAGGTGCCATCTTTGAAATAAAGTGAAAAACAGCCCTTACCTAATGCTGGCATTTTTTCCTCCACAAAGTGAACAGCTAATCTAAATTTTACAGCCACATTTCATTTCAGAGAAAGTTACCTGGTTTAACCTAGAACATGACCTGTGGAAACCTGTACTTTTCATGGTCCATCCCTGCATACCATGGAGTGCTGTCACACTATAAAACCATCTGTGCTAGTGCAAAGCAGCATCAGGGAGTTCATTTTGGGGGGACATTATCAGAATATTCCATAAAATAATTTTACAACACATTTGAGAAACGTGTACAAGACACACAGCCCTACAAGGCTAAATTTGGATAATTTAAACTACTACCCCCCACATTTAAGATTTCTTACCACTCAGTAAAATTCCCCTCGATTCTCCTCTGGTATTTCATACTCAGATCTGCTTTTTAAGTAGAATTCACGAAACAGATACAATAAATTGGCCCAGTTCACACTCCCAGCAGCTTTTGTTCCTCTGTTTGGTTCCCAGTTTCCCTGTGCCATGTCTCCTGCTGCCAGCTGAGTGCTGAGATGAATTGAAGCGTGTCTCCCCCCTTCTGACACCCAGCAATGCTCTGTCTGCCTCTCCAAGCTTTATTTTACAGTCTCTGACAACAACATCAAAGGACAAGAACAATTTCCTTTCTATTCTCTAATATATCATCAAGAGATTGGAAAGCATGAGGGCCCAACGGATTCAGATACATTTTTCTTGTTACAACATGATGTTAGACAGGGTAAAGTCCTCCCTCTTCCCACTCTCTTTAAATGACTTTGCAGCAATGACAGCGAAAAGTAAACATATCAAAGAAAAAAAAAATCCAAAACAAACAGGGGGAAACCATGCAGTTAAAGATGAAAAACTATCCCAGAGTAAAGAATAAGCACTCAAATTCCCATGCTAATCCATCTCAGAGTTCACCGAGGTGCAAATCTTTTCATCACCACCTCACTGTGGTGCCTGTAACTGCTCAGCCCAGGATGGCAAAACACAAAGGATAAAAAAAAAACAACTCTGCTTAACGCGGGCTTAGCAGAGCCAGCTCACACTTGGGAGTGACGAAGCCATTTGTCTTGAAGAGTGATTCCCCCTGCAGAGTGGGGGAGACAGATGTATTAATTTGGGCCCTAACTATCTCCCTTTCATTGAGGGAAAGAAAGAATTTGTTATTTGGGTCTCTAATGGAGCAGTTTGCCAGCAATTTTCCCATTTCAAACACCGTCTCAGCTGCTAATGCGTAATGTTTTGTCAAGCTTACCTACCCATAACATAGACAAATCACTACCTTGGAGAAAAAAGAGAGAGGGAGCGAAGCATCAGTACTGATAATTCTCAGCTGTCAGATGAATAGAGCCTACAAATGAGACAGTCACGCTCTATTAACGGTGCCACCGAGCTCCTGCCTGAGACGTGTCACAGACGTCCCCCTGCATTGGGCAGCCAGCGGCTTCCCTGCTGGGAGGCAGAAAGCGAGTGGATGAGCCAGGCTGCCCCCAGGATCACTCTGCTCCCAGGGATGGGGCTCTCTGGGGCTTGCTCTGCTCGGGCAGCCAAGCACCAAAGCAATCTCTGAGAGGGCGACAGCGTAAGATCAGCTCAGCGTGCAGCAGGAACCTGTGGCACACTCGTGCCTGGCAGGACACACACACAACCTGCGTGGAGGTTGCTGGGGAAGGGCAGAAACCACCCTTTCCCTCTTATTTTTCCCTGGCCTATAAGCAGGGATTTGCAGGGAATGGTTGGGGGAAACAAGGAGCGTGGGCATCCACCACAGTGACAGAGCCCAGGGCTGGGGAGAACCATCTGTATTAGGAAGGAGGAAATTTCTAGAGCACATAACAGTCAAGAGAGACTTTTCCTCCTTGTCAAAGACTGAAAACAACCGGATTAGAAAAACCTGCTTGGACCATTATTTCACCTTTATCTCATATTTTGTGCTTCGTATCTTATCCTATATTTTTGACTCTGATGAAGGAAAGCCCACAGATTTATCCTCAGTATTTAAGATGAATAAGTCATACTTAAAATTTGATCTTCTTACTACATATATGAGCTAGATCTGGTCCCTGCCCTGATGCCTTTCTTGCCTCTTCCTTTGAAATACAAGCTTTATTCCTACCATGCACAACAGGTTTGGGCAGCTGCACTGAAGTATTTACCCAAAGAAGCCCTGGATAGGAGGCACCCTTGCTGGGAAAGAAGGAAAGGAATCCTGCCCTGCAGTTACAGTCAGAACCTGTGGCTCATTCAGCAGGAAAACATTCAAAAGCCACAGTTGTCACTCCTTAAACCCCAGAACAGGGCACTACTCTGCAAGGCAAAAACCCTGCAGTCCTGCTGCTTCAGAAAGTGTTTATGGACTGAGATCCCAAGGAA